GAGAGAGAGAGAGAGAGAGAGAGAGAGAGACAGAGACAGAGACAGAGACAGAGAGAGAGACAGAGAGACAGAGACAGAGACAGAGAGACAGAGACAGAGAGAGATGTAGTCAGAAGGTTTCTCCGGTTCTGCAGTCAGGACCCACATCCCACAGCTGCTTGGTCCCAAATAAACACACAGAGGCTTATATTATTTTTAAACTATACAGCCTTGCTGTGGATATCACTCTATATAAATAAAACACTGATGGCCAGTGACCAGGCAGGAAGTATAGGCGGGACAAAGAGAGAAGAGAATTGGGGAAACAGGAAGAAGGAGGAGAGACACTGCAGCCACCGCCAGGACAAGCAACATGTAAAGACGCCAGTAAGCCACCAGCCATGTGGCAAGGTATAGATCTATAAAAATGGGTTAATTTAAGATATAAGAACAGTTAGCAAGAAGCCTGCCACAGCCATACAGTTTATAAGTGATATAAGCATCTGAGTGACTGCGGGGCTTGGGGAACCTGGAGAGAAGCCCTCCAGCAACACAGCCTAATGGCTCAGGCTTCTTGCTAGCTAGCTCTTACATCTTAAATTAACCCATTTCTATGAATCTATACTTTGCCACGTGGCTTGTGACTTACCGGTACTTTTACATCTTGCTTCTCCTGGGGGTGGCTGGCAGCGTCTCCCCCACTCTCCTTTCTTTTCTCACTGTCTCTCTTGGATTTTCCCGCCTGGCTCCATCCTGCCCTGCCATAGACCAATGCAGCTTTATTTATCAACCAATCAGAGCAACACATATTCACAGCTTACAGAAAGACATCCCACAGCAGAGACATATGTGTGCCTGTGGCATGATGTTTTCACGGGGAGATGGAATGACCAAAAATATTCCTAGAGGTGGGACCATGGCACAGCAAATAAAGATGAGAAACACTGTGTAGTCTCCTTTGCTAACGGCTCACCAAGGCTTACATGGCACAGGGACTCGTTTGGGGGATGCCAATAACGGTTAGGCTTAGAGTCTGAGAAGGTTTTCTAGAAAGAGCCATGCAATGGTATATATTTGGGGTACTTGAGCCAAAAGAGAGCATCGTGTTTACAGAAGACAAAGGCATCTACACAACCATATGCAGACTTTAAAAGGAGAAGTGAGTTCAGGGTGGAGAGGCCAGCAGGGGTCAGTGTGGGAAGCCTGATGCTTCAGGAGTTGGCCAGAACTCTTTTTCTAAAGAAGAAAAATAAAAATTCTTCACATTTTGATAATCAGAAGGCCAGTTAAAGTAATTTAGGTTCTAGTCTAGAATAAAGGCGTTAAATCCATGCCTTGTTTACTTTTCTGGTCACATCTATAAGAAATACGCTTGCTACCATGACCCGTTGGGGACATAGGTGCATCTGGTACAGATCACTTAGCTTTACTGCGCTGGAAACCTGAGGATGGCACTTGTAACTCCCCCCACCCCCCGCCAGATTGATTTAATGACCCCAGATTTATCACAAGTGATAGTAAAAAAAATAAAAAAATAAAAAAAAAAAAAACAACAACCAAAAAACCACTTACACATCTACAGTATTGGGCAAGGTAGAGACAACACTTTCCTTGTCTCTGGGTAAATTTCTCTGTATAATTTAATGTTTGATTTGATCTTCTGTCTGTAGCTGTATATGAGTTTGAGCCAGCAGAGGAGGAAGCCGAGTGGTGGTGGAGAGGAGCATGGCTCAGTCAACTGCTTGAGAGGCGAGAGGGTAAGAGAGGATTCAGGCTCAGGGGGCAAGAGTCCGTGGCAAGGCTGAGATAACTTAAAGCATAGTTTGTCAGGAACTGAGCATTACCTTCGGGTTACAGTCTCAGGTAACTCGGAGGAGGAGAGACAGAATCAGCTGGGGGCTAGCATGCGCTTTGTTTAGTTTTAATAAGACATCTTTAAGAAAACCAACTATTGACTTATTTGAAAGAATGGGATGGCAAGAGGTCCTATTGGACCTTCGCGGATGGAGTTTGATCTCTACACGGGCGATCCTCTATTTCAGATATTTCCCTTAAACCCGACAGCTTCAGCCTGCCATCCTCAAGTTTCTCTTCAGTAACGTTCTGTTCCACAGTGGAACCCAGTGCCAGCTAAGCCTTATGGGAGTTAAGGGGTCTCACGTACTCCACAGATCTGAGCAAATCTCTTATTTATGATTCTGGTGGGGCTGGAGCATAAAACTAATTTTCTGGGAGGAACAGTTTCGTGAAACCCAGATGGCATGTAACTGAGTAACTACCGGATTTCTGGACACAGAAGAGTGCTTGTGGCTATGTCACTGAATATTCAACGCGGCATGTCTACCCTTCTCCGACGAGACCCGTATGAAGCATATGTTTCCGGTCCATTTTAACATCGCTCTATGAAGAAATAGATTCTAACGTGTCAAAAGCTCCTTTGAGCGTCTCTATTTTTTTTTAAATGTGGCATACCGTGTTAATTTCAGACTTGAAAGACACAGATCCTTTCAGGATGTGAACTGAACTATGAAACCAAAGCCAGATTTAGCAGGCTCTAGTGGTCGGACACTGAGGACAAAGGGACTCATTTTTTTTAGTGTTGTGACTGCCCTCTGGTGGCCAGGGCTGGAATTTCATGAACAGAAAGCGGATTCTTGCGAAATAACTGGAATTCCAAACAAGCAATTCTTCCTTTTGCCTTCTGGCTACATGTTCCAAATAAATGTTTGCATATGCTGGATTTTTATTTTATGATAGGAGGAGAAAAGATGGAGTTGGAAAAATTTCAAGGATAGATTTTGGAACTCTTGCTTTCTAATTGAAAACTACTCGGTTTAATATATGTGTGTTCCACATGAATGTACCCAGAAAGGCATCAAAACTGTGTGATTAAAGAAAACACTTAAGGGACGTCAAGTCTTCTGGGATCATCTTTACTCTGCCTTTGTACTTACCTGAGGCAATGTCAAGTCACGATCCCTCCGAGGCTTGCCTTCTTTTTTTGCTAGTAAAATTAGAAAATACACCTTTTAGATTTGCAATGAAAAAATAAAATAAAATGCACAGAATAGAACCATATGCACAGTAAATGTGCAAGAAGAGTTAGACATTTGGTATTCAGAATGTAATATTATTGGAAAAAGGTCAAGGTCCTTTGGAGAAAAGATTATGTCATACAGACCCATTTCAACTCAGTGGTTACAATGCCGTGTTTCTTTAAACATTAATTGATGCTAGATGTTCCTGGGTAACTTTCAAACCATAATTTCTAGAACTAGGTTAGGCCAGGCCAGTCCTGAGGGAGGAAGTTACTAATGTGTTCCTACCAAAGCAGAGCTGTCTTTATCAGCCAGGATCAAACGATTTTCTAAATTCCTTCCACATCTGCTCAGTTGCCTTTCGGTGCTGGTAACATGACTCTTGAGTGTCCAGGCCACTGGTCTTGAGGAGCTCAAGCCTGTTTTTCCAACCCCGAGGGAAATTCCAAAGAAATCCTCATTACAGCTTGCTCACAAGCAGTGTTCCCGGGACTTTAGGAGTTCTGTCTTCCACCACGGAGTTCAGCTCAAAGGTCAGATAAGGACCGTCAGATTCAAGAAAGTGTGGAGTTGGAGATCGTCAGGTAGAGAGAGGAGCCAGTGACCAGAGGGGACAGAGAAACCAGCAGCCTAGGATCTCAGTTGGCAAATTTAATACCGCAAAGCAAGGGACTGGGTTTATAAGGCTCCTTCGAGTTTTAAAAACTAGAGGAAGAAGAAAAGAAGAAAGACCAGCTCTGTGTCAATTCCTGAAGCCTGCCCAGTAAGTTTCTTCTCTGTGGGCCTGTGGCCTGGCCACCCCTTTCCACATCTAATGACCCTCTCTCTCCAGCACTGATCTCTGGCACTAGGCTGGGAGTTGCCTCCAAAGCACATTTTAATTGTAGGATTCTGGGGTCCTATATAAAAAGCTAATTAATTAATAGGAGGGAGGAAATTTGTCCTCAGGATGCTGAAGGGGAGATTTCCCATCATTTCTCTTTCCCATGCCAGGAAG